CTGTAAAATCAAAAACAAGTTAACTACTCCCAAGATACAATGGGGATACACACATTGGGAAAATATTTGTCTTCCAAAAGGGATATGTGGGCCAAAAGAAAGGGGCTACAGGCCCCACACAAGTCTGAAACCCAGAAGGCCAGTCATTAAATTTTAAAGCTCCAAAAAATTGTCCTTGGGCTCCATGTCTGACATCCAGGGCACACTGGTGTGAGGGGTAGGCTTCCACAACCTTGGGCAGCTATGCCTCTGTGGCTTTACAGGGTTCAGCCCCTGCAGCTGCTTTCACGGGATGGCATTGAGTGCCTGCAGCTTTTCCAGACATGTGGTGCAAGCTGTCAGTGGCTCTACCATTCTGGGGTCTGGAGGATGGTGGCCCTTTTCTCACAGCTCCAGTAGGTAGCACCCCAGTGGGGACTCCGTGTGAGGGCTTTAACCCTACATTTGCCCTCCACACTGCCCTAGTAGAAAGTTCTCTATCAGGGCGCCACCAGTACAGCAGTCTGTGCATCCAAACTTTTCACATATCCTGTGAAATCTAGGCGGAGACTCCCAGGCCTCAGTTCTTGCCCTCTGTGTAGACACAGGCTCAAAGCCATGTGGAAGCCACCAAACTTTATGACCTACATGTTCTGTAGCAGCAGCCCAAGCTGTACCCAGGCCCCTTTGAGCCGTGGCTGAACCTGGAGAGGTTGGGATGCAAGGAGCAGTGTCCCAAGGCTTCACAGGGCAGCAATGTCCTGGCTCTGGCCCATGAAACCATTCTTCCCTTCTAGGCCTCAAGAGGGGCTGCTGTGAAGGTCTCTGAAATACCTTCAAGGCCATGTCCCCGTTGTCTTGGCTGTTATCACTTGGACCCTTTTTAATTTGCACAAATTTCTGCAACCTGCTTGAATTCCTCTTCTGAAAATAGGCCTTTCTTTTCTACCACATGGCCAGGCTCCAGATTTTCCAAACATTTATGCTCTGCTTCTGTTTTAAATATAAGTTCCAGTTTTAGGTCATTTTTTTGCTCACACATAGGAGCATAGGATGTTAGGAACAGCCAGGCCACATCTTGAGCACTTTTCCTACTTAGAAATTTCTTCTGCCAGGTACCCTAAATCATCACTCTCAAGTTCAAAGTTACACAGATCCCAAGGGCACAATGCAAGCCATGTTCTTTGGTAAGTCATAACAAAAGTGACTTGTACTCCAGTTCCCAATAAGTTCCTCATTTCCATCTGAGTCCTTGTTAGCCTTGCCTTTGCTGTCCATGTCACTGCCAGCATTTTGGTCATAACCATTCATCTGGTCTCTAGGAAGTTCCAGACTTTCACTCGTCTTCCTGTATTCTTCTGAGCCCTCCACACTCGTCCAACCTCTGATTGTTACCTAGTTGCAAAGTTGCTTTCATATTTTCAGGTATCTTTATAAGCAATGCCTCACTTCACAGTACCAATTTTCTGTATTAGTCCATTTTCAAACTGCTGTAAAGAAAACCTGAGACTGGGTAATTTATAAGAGGAGGTTTAATTGGCTCATGGGTCTGCAGGCTGTACAGGAAGCATGATGTTGGCGTCTGTTCAGCTTCTGGGAAGGCCTCAGGAAACTTACAGTCATGGCTGAAAGTGAAGGGGGAACAGCACTTCAAATGGCCAGAGAAGGAGCAAGCAAAGTGGGGGAGGTGCTACACACTTTTAAACAACCAGATCTCATGAGCACTCACTCCCTCATTGTCACGAGAAGGGAATGGTGCTAAACCATTCATGAGAAACCACCCCCATGGTCCAATTACCTCCCACCAGGCTGCACCTCCAACACTGGGGATTACAGTTGAACATGAGATTTGGGTGGGCACACAGATCTAAACACTAGCAACACTGCAACAGTAGTGTTAGCTAAAAGATAGTGAAATAATACCTTCATAAGAAAAAGCAATTATCAACTTAGAATTTTAGTGAAATAAGGACATTTATTATGCGAACAAAAATAGAAGAAGATTGACCACCAGAAGACCCTCCTCACTAAAGGAACTTCCAAGGGTAGACTTCAAGAATTAATTGAAAACGGCCTCCAGAAAACAATCTGAGGTACAGAAAGAAGTGATCAATAAAGATAAAAGTAAACATCAAACTGATAGTAGCATGTTACAGAAAAACAATGATGTCTGTTTCAGTAGCACTAAGACAAACACCAAAAAAAAGCTAAAGTAAGGATAGAGGCAGATTATTGGAATCAAAATCCTACAAGGTTGTCGTATTTTCAAGAAGGAGAGCAACTGATTATCTTCGGACCTTAAGCATGCATAGTAAAAACTGCAGTGAAAAGATGGGCTCACATGTAAAATGGTATCTTTTAATCAAACTCAGTAAACACTTTCTCATGGAAGATACCTGGATATTAAAGGATGGCAGCCTATTGATTCCCCACTGCCCTTGTAGTTAAACCCTGTCAGTTGCTACATTAGGTTTCCTGTCGTTAATCTTCTCACTCTTCCTCTCACCAAGTTCATTATATGAAATCACAACTCTTTACGGAGCTCTGTGTGTTTAATAACACACGTGCTGTGAAATCACTTTAACTCTTTCTACAGTCCTCATGATGAGGACCAGTGCTTGTGATTCATTAATGTCCAGCTCATTGTGTTTTACCTGAAGAGCCTCCCCAAGCGTCTGATGGCAACAGTGGCACTGTATGTGTGGTTGTCAAATCAGAGCAGTCGCACCTGCTTTAGAGGGCCTTCCCAGCCCACGGTGCACGGTGGTCCCTTCTTCCCCTGAATTCTGCTTGTTGGCACCCATCTGTCTCGTGTAAGATGGAAGTATCTATAGTACCTTACTCTTATCATTATGGTGTGAGTTAAATGGATTAATCCATGTCAGAGCACTTAGAGCAGTGCTTTTATAGCACACCAGCTAAATACTGGTGAATAATTGCTCCCTAGTTATCTTTTTGGGAGGATTATAGGTTGTTTCGTCCATGTGTTAGATAACTAAATTGTAACTGGCCAAAGATAAGGTTAAGTTGTATACTTCTGTGGGAAATAGAAAAGTAGAGAGCACAGTGAGTACAATAAGTCAGTCAGTTACTAAGTAACTGACTTAGTGAGTATTAGTCATGAGTGACTTTTAAAATCCCATTTCACTTGGAGAGCTCTTTGGCATCTGTTTCTAGTAGGCTTAGTGTAGTAATGAGAAAGAGCTGTTTAAAATTTTGTAAATGCGTATTTGGATTCATAGATTTACTGCAAAAGTAGAAACATAGTTGTATAGATTTTTAAACTAAAGGGATCTCAAGATGCCAATAAATTAGCTTTAGGGCTCGGCGAAAGCCTTCATACTTCAGGACCTATGGCTCCTCTATTGAAAACAAAAAGATTTTCTCTAGGTTCCATGCCAGCATTAGCCAGTGCTTTGCCTTAAGTTCTAGGAATTACCCACATTTTAAAACGAAGCAAAAGTACAGCTGAAGCACAGCGCAGTAGAGTGACTTGTTAGGGGCTGGTGGTGGGGGGAGGATAGGTTTCAGACCAGGTGAGATTGTGAAGGGTCTGGAAACCAGCGGGTCTGCTTTCAGGTCAGGTGCCTCCTACACACTATGCCGCCTGGGGTCCTGCTCTGCAGCAGCCCTCTTGGCCCTGGTCCCTTCTGTGTGCACGATGCTCATGTGAGCAGTATCAGAATTTCACATCTGTTGAACAATGTAGTGAATATTTATATTACACATGATGTATGGTTATCTTTTTTGTTGTTGTTTATGTATATTTTTAGTATACCTTTAAGCCTCACCTAGTGAAGGCAGAAGGGATGATATTTATTATCTCCCTTGCAAACCTGCAGGGCGGATATTTTGACTCCTTTCTTGCCAGGTGGATATCTCAATATGGTGTTGGCAGGATTGCCTGTGTTCTGTAAGTGGCTATTCACCTAGTTCCAAGTCTACGAATTCTTGAGTATTCAGTCAAAAGAGATTTAAAGGATTTGGTTAACAATAATGTGCTTTCTAATGTAATCAGATATCCAAGTTAAAGACGGACTACAGACAGCCAAGTGTTTGATATAGAGCATGAGTAAATGGCTCTTCCTGTCTGTTTCGGCAGACATGTTTAGAAAAATGACATTCAAGCAATAACATTTTCCAGTTACAGATTTTAATTTTATTAAGATAATAAATCCTATACTGTTTTGCTAATCTAATGCTTTTTACTTTAGGACAATTTGTAAGAATTTATGTAAAACAATAGAGAAAATCTGCTCTATATCCAGGAAAATATAAACAGAAGAAATTTAAAGATTTCTGAAAGAATTAATTAATTTGGAGAATTTGTATAATTGTGTCATAATGTCTGCCTTGCGCTGTGCTAGGTTTAGTGAATTCTAAAGATGAAGGATACCTCCTATCAAGACATTCATAGTCTAATGAAAGACATTTAGACAGAAATAGTACATTACAGCAAGATTCTCAGTAGAGATATGCACAGGTTGCAATAGGAGTAATAATAATTAAACTTGCAGTCTGGTTGAGGGAGGTGTGGGAGAATTGCCAAAAGCAGTCCTTTCATATTCTGAGACTACTTTATGATTCCTAGAACGTTTGAAGAAGCTATAAAGCACTCTGGTACATGAGCTTTTTAAGCTTTCTCTCGGATTGCTGTGTATATTCAGTATGCCTCCGGTGCTTACCCAGTCGGTAGTCAGCCATGCTACCTGGCTTTTCAGCCTTCTCCTCTTCCTCGTTGTGGGACCATTAGCAAGTTATTGCCCTGTGTTTCAGTTTTGTAAGAAGAAGAAAGAAATAGTACCAACTTGGTAGGATCATTGTAAATATTAAGATCGTATATGGAAAACATTTTAGAATGCTGCCTGGTATACCATAAGGCTCAGAAAATTTTAGTTCTTATTGTTGTCAGTTTTAGTAGCTAGGTAGAATATTGAAACACTGTCACCATGTTGATCATTTAGATTCTCTTTCTAAAATGCTGATGTCAAATAAAATTTTACATTTTTCCCCCTTTCTAGCTCCAAGAGGAAAACGAGGATGGAAAACCTTTTATGCTGTACTGAAGGGAACAGTTCTTTACTTGCAAAAGGTAAAAGCAAAGCAGATAAATCCACTAAATTTGATGAAGTAATTAAACGAGGTCCAGTATATGTATATACAGTAGTCTCCCTTATCTGTGGTTTCACTTTCTGCAGTTTGTTTGCTAATGTTAAAAAATATTCAATGGAGAATTCCAGAAATAAACGATTTTAAATTTTAAATTGCATGCTGTTCTCAGTAGCATAATGAAATCTTTCTCAATCCTGCTCCATCCTGACCAGATGTGAATCATCCCTTTGTCCGGCGTAGCCATCCTATATTCGCCTATCCTTTAGTCACTTAATAGACATCTCTGTGATGAGATCAGCTGTCCAATTATGGCAGTGTTTGTGTTCAAGTAACCCTTATTTTACTTAATAATAACCCCCAGAGAACAATGATGGGGGCATATTGTTATCATTGTTCTATTTTATTATTAGTTATTGTGGTTAATCTCTTACTGTGACTAATTTATAAATTAAATTTTATCTTAGATATGTATAGGAAAAACATAGTATACAGTCATCCCTCCATGCACACAGGGGATCGGCTCCAGGACCTCCCTTATATACCAAAGTCCCCACGTACTAAAGTCCTGCAGTCAGCCCTGTAGAATCCACATATAAGAAAAGCAGGCTTCTGCATACTTGGGTTTCATGCCCCACAAGTGCCGTATTATCAGTCCTCATTTGATGGAAAACAATCCGCATTTTAGTGGATCTATACAGTTCAAGCCCATTTTGTTTAAGGGTCGTCTATATATAGGGTCCAGGACTATTCAAAATTTCAGGCGTCCACTGGGGGTCTTAGAACGCATCCCGCATGGAGAGATAAGGGGAGCCTACTGTAGTACATATTCTTTATTCATTCTTCAGTGAACACTTAGATTGTTTCCACCTTTTGGCTATTGTGAGTAATGCCATAATGAACATGGAGTGCAAATACCTCTTCAAGATCCTGACTTCATTTCTTGTGGATAAATACCCAGAAGTAGGACTGTGGGGTCATATGGTTCTGTTTTCAGTTTTTTGAAGAAACTCCATATGGTTTTCCAAAGCAATGTAGCATTTTATATCTGAACAACAGTACTTAAGGGTTCCAGCTTCCCCCCATGTATGTGTTGAATTTATCTGAGCTCTGTGTTCCATTCTGTTGGTCTATGCATGTTTCTGTCTTTATGCCAGAACCATATTGATTTGGTATTATAGCTTGGTAATATGTTTTGAAATCAGGAATGTGAGGCCTACAGCTTTGGTCTTCTTTTTCAGTATCGTTTATGGCTTATTCAGAGTCTTGCGATTACGTATAAATTTTAGAATTTTTTTTCTGTTTCTGCAAAAAATCCCACTGGGATATTCATAGGGATTTTATTGAATATGTAGGTCACTGTAGGCAGTATGGCATTTTAATAACGTTTAATCTTTGCATCCCTGAACATGGAATGTCTTTTCATTTATATGTGTCTTCTTTAATTTCTTTCAGCAGTGTTTTATAGTTTTCAGTGTATATGTCTTTTGCCTTCTTGATCAAGTTTGTTCTTAAGTATTTTTCTACTACTTTTTGATGCTGTTGTAAATGGTATTATTCATTTCCTTTTCAGATTGTTCGTTGTTAGTGTATAGAAATGGAACTGATGGTTAATTTTGTATCCTGCAACTTCGCTGAATTTGTTTATTCTAATAGGCTTTTGGGGAATCTTTAGGTTTTCTACATATAAGATCGTTTGAAACTGTTTCTCATTTGAGGGTTTTTTTTTATCATGAAAGGATATTGAATTTCATCGCTTTCCTGCATCTATTGAGATGTTCGTGTAATTTTTATCCTTTGATCTGTTAATATGTTTTATCACTTTGACTGATTTTCATAGTTGAACCACCTTTACATCCCAAGGACACATCTCACTTGGTCATTGTATATGATCTTTTTAATGTACTGTTGAATTCAGTTTGCCATCATTTTGTTTAGAGTTTTTGCGTTTATGCCCATAATGGATATTAGCAAGTAGTTTTCTCATAGTACTGTTTTCTGGTTTTGATATCAGGGTCATGCTGGCCTTGTAAAATGAGTTTGGAAGGGTTCCCTTCTCTTCAATTTTTTGGAAGAGTTTGAGAATGATTGGCATTAGTCATTTAACTGTTAGGTAGAGTTCACTGGTGAAGCCATCTGGTCCTAAACTTTCCTTTGTTGGAAAGGTTTTCATTACAGATTCAATGCACTTATTATTATAGATCCTTTCAGATTTTCTAGCTCTCCATACTTCAGTCTTGGTAGATTATAGGTTTCTAGTAATTTACCCCTTTCTTCTAGGTTTCCCAGTTTGTTGGTGTATAATTGTTCATAATAGTTTCTTAGAATCCTTTTAGTTTATGTGGCATCAATTGCAATTCCTCCTGTTTCATTTCTGATTTTTTTTATTTGAGTATTCTCTATTTTTTCTTAATCTAGCTAAAGGATTGTCAATTTTGTTCATCTTTTGAAAAGAAATTTTTAGTTTTTTTTTTCATTTCTCTACTTCATTTATTTCTGCTCTAACCTTTAATTAGATTTTCTTTTCTCTATTTCATTTATTTCTGCTCTAATCTTTATTGTGTCTTTCTTGTGCTAACTTTGCATTACTTTGTTCTTTATCTGGTGTAAAAATAGGTTGTTTATTTAAATCTTCCTTCTTTTCTAATGTGTTTCTTGCCATAAACTTGCCTATTGGTACTGCTTTTGTTTCCTTCCATAAGTTTTGGCATATTGTGTGTCCATTATTGTTGGTCTCAAATTATTGTCCAATTTCCTTTTTGATTTTTTTTTGACCCATTGATTGTTCAGGACCATGTTGCTTAATTTCCACATATTTGTGAAGTCTCCATTTTCCTTCTGCTGTTAATTTCTACTTCGCTTTCTTTGTGATTGGAAAATATGTTTGCCATTATTTCAGTCTTCTTAAATTTGGTAAGATTTGTTTTGTAACTTTGACTTTTATCCATCCCAGATTATGTTCCATGTGCACTTCAGAAGAATATATATTCTCGTGCTGTTCAGTGGAATGTTCTGTATATGTCTGCTAGGATATTTGGTCCACTGTGTTTTTGAAGTTCTCTGTTTCTTTATTGATCTTCTGCCTAGAAGTTCTGTACATTTAGAGAGTGGGGTGAGGAAATATCCTACTATTGTTAATTTCTACCTTCAGTCCTGTCAATGTTTACTCTATATATTTGCGTGCCGTGATGATGGCTGCATGTGTATTAAAAATTGTTATGTCTTTGTGATGAAGTGACTCATCATTATATGTCATTCTTTCTCTGGACAGTTTTTTACTTATTTTGTATAATATAAGTATGACTACCTCTCTGCTCTTTTTATTACCAATTGCATGTAGTATTTTTTCCATTATTTGACATTCAGGTGTGTGTGTCTTTAAATCTAAAGTGAGTCTTATGTAGATAGCATATACTTAGGTGTGTGTGTCTCTCTCTCTCTCTCCCTCCCTCTCTGTCTCTGTCTCAATACATTCAGCCACACTCCCAGCTTTGATTGGGAGTTTAATCCATTTATATTTAGAGTAATTATCAATACAGAAAGACTTACTCTTGCTATTTTGCTATTTATTTTCTTTTCTATCTTGTCACTTTTTTACTTTACTCTTACGAGTATTCCTTTCTGTTTCACTGATTTTTTTTTTGTAATAACCTTTATTTCTTTCTCATTTTCTTTTGTGTGTCTTTTAGGGGTTTCTTTGTTTGTTTGCTTACCATGAGGTTTACATAAAACAGTTAAAATGATCTATTTTAAGCTGATAATTATTTCAGGTCATATGTCAAAACTATACTTTTACTCCCTCACAAATTATATCCTTTTGTATTGTGTTCCCACTAATGTATATTTATAGGTAAAGTATTTTAATACTTTTTGAAAAATTTCTATGCCAGAGTTAAAAGTCATTTACACACCACTATTACAATATTAAAGTATTGTGTATTTTTCCTACATATGGTCAGCACTCCATATCAGTGATTGCTGCATTTGAATTCAACCAACCTGAGATTGAAATATTCAGAAAAAAAAGTTCCACAAAGTTTCAAAAAACAAAACTTGAATTTTCCACATGCTGAGTACTATGTTGAATCTATGCCAATATAGTGATATGTAGGCCTTTTATTAGGTATCATGAGTAATCTAGAGATGATTTAAAGTGTACAGAAGGATATACATAGGATATATGCAAATACTGTGTCATGTTATGTAAGCAACTTGAGCATCCATGGATTTTGGTGTATCTATCAGGGATCCTAGGACAAATCTCCCATGGATACCAAGTCCTGTCTTTGTTTACTTTTGCCATTGAGCTTTATACTTTCATGTTTCTGTTCAGCATTCTTTCATTTCAACTTGAAGAACTCCCTTTAGACTTTCTTGTAAGGCAAGTCCAGCAGTAATGAACTCTCCACTTTTGTTTACCTGAGAAAATATTATTTTTCATTTTTAAAGGGTAGTTTTGCTGGATGTAATATGCTTGTGTGGCAAGTGTTTGTGTGTGTGTGTGTGTGTTTTGTTTGTTTGTTTGTTTTTTGAGCACCTTGAACATATCATCACAGTCACTTCTGGCCCTGGATCATTTATGCTGAGAAATCCACAGACAAATCACTTTTCTTTTGCTACTTTCAAAGTCTTTTCTTTTTCTTTGACTTTTTATAATTTTGTCCTTGGTCCCAGTTTAATTTATTTCCATTAATCCTGGTTGTCATTAGGCTTCTCGAATCTAGATGTCTGTTTCCTTCGTCAGATTTGAAAAGTGTTCTGTAAAGAAGCTTTGTGACTTCTTTGTTCTTTCTGCTGTTTCTTGGATTCCCATAATGTGTTGGTCTGCATAATGGTGTGTACCATTAATGCCTAAAGCTCTCTTAACTCTTTTTCATTCTTATTTATCTTTGTTCTCTGAGTGGATAATTTCAAATGGCCTGTCTTCAAGTTTGCTCATTCTTTCTTCTTTGTTTTCTGCTCTTGAGCCTCTCATCTGAATTT